AGGGATTGCGTCTAGATGGGCCTGGCAGTCCAGGTCCTAGTCTGGATGGGCCTGATGAATATTAGAGATACTGAGCTTCTCCTTTGCAACACAAGTTCCAGTCTTCGAATAACACTCCGCCAAAGAGTAGAAGCTCTACAGCGTTTTTTTTATAACATATGGTTATCAGTTTATCACCATCAGCAGCATACGGATACTAGTGAGCACCATTAGACATTCAGACTCATGTACACAGAAAAATAATTCAAAAAGAACACATATTTCTCATGCTGATCCTGCTTCAGAAAAACAGAATGCAGACATGTTCTGCACATACATCTGAAATCCTGAATAACAGTTGCATTACGAGGAAGTGAGGAACATTTAATCTGATTTCATAGTATACTAAATTATGGTGTTCCGTACATACATTCAACATCCTTAGCACAAAGGAAAACAAAACATAGGGAACTGGGCAAAAATTCAGAGAAGGATTGGGGCTAAAATTTCCATGATTAAGGGTTGCCCTAGGTCTCTTGGGGATTTACCACATTGCATTACAATGCCCAAGGAACTAGCCACCTTGAGGATTCACTTTTGAGCAAGCGCACATGAATAGGAGAAGATGAGAATGTGCATAGAGACGGTTAGAGCAACATTAGCAACATTATATGGTTCCACAAGAAGGCAACTCTTTACTGCCCCACCGCAGCACCAGTGGCACACATCCACACCTGCTGTCGTGCAGCCGTTGTAGCCTGTGGCTGTAGTTTTCCCTCCAAAGGTTGACCTTGAAGAATGGCGGTAGATCGGAAGTCCTGGTGCAACCTGAATGCAGGATGCTGATGACCCAGCAGGCTTAGTTTCAGCTTCTGCATACAGACTCACATATTCTATTATCCTTTTTTGAACGTAAACAGATTCTATATCATCAGCCCAATCCATAAAGGGTAGGCGCGAATTGTGGTTCTCATTGCAACTGCTGCTGTAGGTTTTCCCACCATTGAAGAATGGCGGTAACCCTGGTACAGCCTGAATGTAGAATGCTGATGACCCAGCAGGCTTAGTTTCAGCTTCTGCATACAGACTCACAGATTCTATCATCAGCCCTATCCTTATAAAGGGTATGCACGAATTGCTCATAAGTTCTCATTGTATTACGTCACACATTTCTCGGTATCCATTTCTTCACCTAGTGTGTAACAAGCAGAATTTGAGTTAAAAGTGTAAAGAAGACAAAGACAATTGAAAACAAAATGCAATCAATAGTGCAAAATCGGACAATGCAACCATTATCCCTTCTTTTCAAGAGCTGAAAGTGCTTTCTATATTCAGGCCAAAGGAAAATCCTCCGCAAAGCCAAGCCAAGCATCAACGGTGTCCTAATAGATAATGTAGAATCTTCTGATCTGAAATGAAGTTGTATTTAGAAAAACAAGTAGGAACTTAACTTGTGGCACTTGGCATGCTACAAATGGCTTCAACAGAAGACAATATCTTATTGCGATATTTTTAGAAACATATCAGCATGATTGTATCCATACTGATCTGTAAATATATGACAGCTAAATTTCATGTAATTGAGACATGAACCTGTTTTGATTTTGATCTAAAAGGAAAACACGAGTCATTTATTCACAGGAAGCAATAATTGCCTGAATAATCTACTGGCCTTTAAGAAATAAGCTGGTAAATTTTGTAGATTACAACTGCAAATAGTTTTTCTTCCATCAAAAAGGAAATCATGTGGATTCATTCATTTGTTTGTCAATTGTAAAATATGACTCTCAACAGATTTGCAAAAACATGGTAACCACAATTTACCTTCAGCTGCTAAGGTGTAATTAACATAGAAATATGATATAGCTAAGGTGTAATTAACATAGAAATATGATATAAATAACAATCAAACCATAAATAAATATAATAACATCAAAATTATCTCCATATTACGTGTTGGACTAGGAATTTTCTTTTCTCTGCAAGTGTCCTATGCTGTTCCCATTCCCGTGTGCTCTGCTGCATCTTATCAATAGCGAACCGTTATATCTTATAAACAGAAGTTAGTTTCTTCAATCCTGAGTCTTATGAGTTCTGAATCTAAATATTTTCAACAACTAAGATATAGTGAAGAACTGACATTCAGCTACCAAGTGAACTTTTAAATAATCATTTGCAGATTTGCTCAAATACAGAGGGGAGGGGAAAATATTGGCATGCGTTAGAAACAGTTTGAAAAAGTTCAATTGTACTGTACCAGATAGATTTCTAGATATGGGATTTCTAACCATAATGTTGGTAAAAGCCTTACTATCTAGAGTTCCATTTTGAATCACATGCGAAACAAAAATATCCAAAGCACAGGCCTGAACAAAAAAGGAACAGTGAATCAGTAAGAAAGATGTAAACATTACTGTGATGTAAGCAATTGTAGATTTTTTTCCACACCAATAGAAAAATGTTAATACCTGCTTCCCCTACCAAATCGCGTAACTAAATAAACTGAGGACAACCCAGAACGCCAAGAACAAACTAACAGGCAGAAAATGAATCACAAAGGGGTCATTTTCAAATAAAAAATCAGAAAAAGCATATTACTGGTGAAAAGGAATATACCTAATAACTTTTAAAAATATGATAAATTGATAACTTTGACATGTTCCTGGAAAAAAAGAGAACAAAATGGAGGCAATACTGAGCTTAAAAAGCAAACAAACCTTATTTGAAACAACATGCTCATGCAGATGTAGACTGTTCATACTTATCAAAAGTGCTGAAAAGTGAAAACATTACACAAGAACCTTTTCTAACTTTAGTGATCAGAGAAAGCCACCAAAGTTGGACATAATTTACAGATTGTGTGCTTTCATTCAATTCATCCTGCAAAACTGAACCAACAAGCTTATTCTTTCATATTTAAGATGTTATTCTACTTTATCATCATTTCAATCTTTCACCTCTCTTCCAAAAGATCAGACATGGAAATAGGTCAGGTAAACAGGGGAGGAAATAATGCATTTGTTATCACCAAGAAAACAAATAAAAGATCTAGTAGATATAAAAGAACTAACCCCTCTCTCAGCTGCAAAGCTTGTTGTGTCTTCAATTTATGATTTGTTACACTGGCCACCTTTATTCCATGAAGAAGGTCCTAATGATAGATATTATTAGATGTTACACATTTTTTTTCTCCAACTAGATCATGGCTAAAATTTTCTTTTGTCTATACATAACTTACAAACTCAAAGGAAAACTCTAGAAATTAAAATTAAAACCTCTATGAAAAGCAGAACAAGTACATGAGATCTAGAAACAAACTAGTGACAAAGGCACGTCTGCTAGAATGAAACTGTCACACTACTTCGCTTTCACTCAAACCTCAAAGTGAACAAATTTTCAGGTTCTATAATAGCGCTATATTTATCAAATGGTTATATAATTGGAATATATTATCCTAATGAAATTTCACTAGCCAAAATGTATTCCTAATTATTCAATAACAGCCTTACAAACACTAGACTCTGAATGATGAATATATGCACAGATAACTTTGTCAGCTACAAGTTATGGTGAATACCTATGTCAACTTGATCCTGATTTCAGAGATCAGGACCAGCACCAAAAATGTAGGGCAGAAGTTGGCATTAAAAAAATGTATGATGTCTACATAACAGTTATGTCAATTTATGATCGATCACAAATAATTGCAAATAATTTGCTGACTGAATGATCAGTAATACATTACGGAAACAATAATTTATGTCCACACCTCTATATTTGAGAAACTGTTAAGATTGGTATGGTCAATTAAGATAACTGGCAGATATTTTACACGTACTGTTAACACTCTGAATAAAGGTACCAATGCAGCAGTCCTTGTAAAAAAAGAAACTTAAATTTGGCACGTGTAGAAATAGTAAATCCAACTCTTTTTACATGAAGGGTTGAAGCTGCTGGTTACAACAACTTAACCTGTTCATGATTCAAAATTTCTACAATTCAAGGTTTCCTACAGAGAACATGAAAAAAGGGCCTGACTTTAGGCATGTGAGATAAGGTTCCCTGCCATTTCAATGAAGGGGCCCAAGGTGCTTGTTAGACATCCCAATTTGCAGGGTGAGATGAGGCCACACATTCCAATTAAAAGTTTGATGGCACATTAATTAGGTGCCACCACATATATAATAGGAAAGACCAAGATAATAAGATATGATAATAACAGCATTAGTTAATGCTAGTCAGATTGAAGCAAGGTTAATACATATCCATTATTATATTATGCAATACAAGCCCCTGTACACCTTGCTTCACACTAACATTCAACAGACTAATAACAATAATACTTATCAACTTTAGAGCAATAAGATTATTAGCAAAAAAAACTCAATCCATTTGAGGTGAATACTAATATTAGAGGACCAAAAATTGCAAGTGACATGTATCATTCATCTGGCAAGGAAGATACAGTACCATTGTTCTAAATTTCCCCTAGAGCAGCTTTTGCTACTCTGTTTTGCATATTGCAAGATCCACAGCAGGGAATGGGAGGCCATGCACTGTGCAAATACAAGTGATGACTTTATAACACCACACACCAGGAAAAAAGGACCAGCTTGATTACCGATTCAGTTTAAGAAAGAGCACCAGAATATTCAGCTCTGTACCTCAACATCTCTAATTCTAAGAAAAACAAATTAGGCATACTTCTATGCACAATGAACATCAGCGAACAAAATGCAGAATTTATCCAACTATCCAAGGTCACCTAATGGAGCATTATATTAGCACCTTGGTAATCAATGGAAAAATAAACATTGTGACATGGAAGTCCTTACAGATATTATAACAGCAAAACAGTACTAGTTTATATATAAGATAGATACCATCACTGGATATATAAGATAAATTCCATAATTGGAGACATTAAGATATATCATCTGTAGAGATCCATATTACTAGCTTAGAGTGCCATCATTACTGGTAGAGGAGACTACAGTTTACAGAGCAACCTCCTCCACATTTCAAGTGTCTGTGGCACTGGAATTCACATCATTCATATCATCCTCGAGGTCATCAGAATCCGACTGGTAACCAAAAACAAGCTCTTGTAGATCGGAATCATCAAACATGGTGGACCATGCTTCGTGGATCATTTTCTCTTTCTTCACCCTATCGGCGATGTAGTCGTCGTCGACCTTGAAAAAGCCGGTGGCCTTCGTACTCGCGGCGCACCTGGTCCTAGAACCTGGTGAAGCTCTCCTCTGCCTGCTTGTGCTCGGCGGCCTCACGGTCCAGATCCTCTTTGGTGGTGGAGCTGTCGGCGATCATATTGTTGTAAGCGATCGTAGATTCGAAGGGTATTATGGGGATATGACCCCCGGTATCCACAAGACAAGACATGGGCCGCACCACCAGAGGTGGCCCAGCCTACAAGATCAAGGCGTGCACGGCACTGGTCGACGTGCACCGCAAGATATTGTATAGTATCAAATATGATACTTTCCTTGTAACCCTACCCCTCCAGAGCATATAAGAGGGGCAGGGGTCCTCTAGTCGACATCCCCATACAGATCCTAGGCTTAGCCCAAGGCATCGATATACATCTCATATTCAATACAATACACCAAAGACACAGGACGTAGGGTATTACGTCGATCAGACGGCCCGAACCTGTCTAAATCGCTATCTCTGGGCCTTGTGTCACCATCCGGTTCCTATCACGCACACCTTCACCGATCAATCTACCTTCGTGGGATACCCCTCGGAGGACTGCTGAGCATCTTGTGTCAAGAGTTGGCACCCACCGTGGGGCTCATGCGCTACCGATCCTCGCAAACCAGATGGCGTAACTAAAGATCAACATCCTTCGCGGCAGCTCGGCTGATCGCGTCGACATCCTTCGACAACCACGGTGCACGTCTTCGTATGCGGATTGACACCGCCAAGCTCCGACTACGTCCGTCCTACTCCAACACGAGATCAACTTCGTTCCAGCCGTCAAGCGAGCCGCTAAGCGAGCTGCCCGCGTCGTCGACCAGATAACGCCATACGCCGTCGACCAGACATTCTGTCTAAAGCTAAGTCACGCTTTAATATTTTTCTAAATATTCTCCAATCTTCGTATAACGCCATAATGTTTTTCCGAGCTGTTTTCTCCATGTTTGTTCTCCAAACGATTTTCTTTTATGTATACCATCTTAAAGATGACATACAGCTAAGTCCAAGGCAAATCCCCAAACAGTCATGTTGATGCTCGGATGTCCCCAGAGACGGCCCTGTCTCCGGCTCCTCCCTACACGTGCACGAGCGTCCGCCATCTGCGTTATGGGTGGTCGGCAGCGGCTCCTTAGCGATGCTTTGTTCTTCCTACACGCACATGGGCTCCGCGCTCCGCGTTATGATTAATGGGCTAGCTAGGGTTGGAGACTCAGCTACACACTAACTGGTCGGGCGGTTTATATTAAATATAAATACATCTTCACATCAACTGATCGTCGAGCTGCATACGCTATTTCATCGCCATTGCTGATTTTTCTCTGGAGTTCATATATTTTTACATCATGTACTACCTGTTCTACATATTTGTATTGCAGGATCATCGTCCAGGTGATCGGACCACCTGCTGCTCGGACTTCTCCACCGATCAAATGATTGAACTGCTAGGTTCATGGACTTCGTTGCCGACCAGTTGATCGGACTGTTCGTCGGTCGCTTCTACTTGATGCGCACTTCGCCGCCGACCAGTTGACCGGACTGTTCGTCGCTCATGTGTCATCATCAGCTACGACGGGGACTCCTCGCTGCTCGGACATCGCCCGCGACGCCGGGGACTCCTCGGTGCTCGGACATCACCCGCTACGTCGGGGACTCCTCGGTGCTCGGACATCGCCAGCTACGCCAGGGACTCCTCGATGTTCGGACATCGCCAGCTACGTCGGAACTCCTCGGTGCTCGAACATCGCCAGCTACGCCGGTGACTCCTCAGTACTCGGACAACGCCAGCTACGCCGGGGACTCCTAGGTGCTCGGACATCGCCAGCTACGCTGGGGACTCCTCGGTGTTCGGATTCTTCGTGCAAGCATCGCCAGCTAAGCTGAGGACTCCCTTGGTGGTCGGATCTTGCTACGTCTCATCAGTGTGCTATCAAGCTGCTCCATGCTGTTCGGATCAGGGTGCTGATCTTGGGCAGCACGTCTGGGGTCTTGATACGCGCATGTCAAGTGACGTCGGCAAGCTTTTAGACTTCTTTTCTTTGACCCTGCTACAAGATTCATTCTTCATCTTCCAGCAGGCTCGGGGACTAAGTGGATACACTTCACCTGGCGGTGAATGTAGTGCTTATTTCTTGATTTACCCTCCTTATTGACGGAGTCTAAGTGGCTACACTTCAACTAAGTGGAAGAATTTTCAAATTTTATCTTGGGCCCCTTATATCCTTCTAACAAGCCTTACTTGGCTAAGTCCGAGGTCTCCTAACCAGTTAAATTGGTCGGCATTGAGTTTCGCCGCCCAGGTCACCAATTAAACTGGTCGGCTTCGACTTCCACTGCTCGGATCACCAGTTAAACTGATCGGCTTCATGTCAAACTGCTCGGACTTGTTCAAGACAGCGTTGCTCAAAGGATACAAGGCGCTTGGGGACTAACTGTGGGGATATGACCCCCGGTATCTACAAGACAAGACATGGGCCGCACCACCAGAGGTGGCCCAGCCTACAAGATCAAGGCGTAAACGACACTGGTTGACGTGCACCGCAAGATATTATATAGTACCAAATATAATACTTTCCTTGTAACCCTACCCCTCCAGAGCATATAAGGGGGATAGGGGTCCTCTAGTCGATATCCCCGTACAGATCCTAGGCTTAGCCCAAGACATCTACATACATCTCATATTCAATACAATACACCAAAGACATAGAACGTAGGGTATTACGTCGATCAGACGGCCCGAACCTGTCTAAATCGTTGTCTCTGTGCCTTGTGTCACCATCCGGTTCCAATCACGCGCACCTCCACCGATCAATCTACCTTCGTGGGATACCCCTCGGAGGACTGCCGAGCATCTTTTGTCGACAGGTATCCTACCATGGGCCAGAATGAACTCGATCTCCCTTTTTGGAAGACGCTTGTATGCAACAACGAAGTATGTGGCCTTCATCTCTTCCTTCGCCGCGATGGCATCTGCGGCTTTCATCTTTTCCAGATCCTTGGCGCTGCACCTCTCCATCGGACCCTCCTACAGATTTGGGATATTTGGACCTCAAACCCTAGCTTAACTCTGTCCGTATATACTCCGAGTCGGCTTCTATTGGCGTCCGTTCGGCTCCGAATCGCTCGCCGTTTGGGGCTGCTTGGTTCGGCAGCAGCTTTCCCTCGCCTCGCCCCGCCGCATCAGCGCGAGCCACAAGGAGTTTGCCCGGCCGAGCGAGCCGAATTGGGCTCTCCCACGCGAGCGAGGCAAATCTTGCTCGCGCAGTTCCCGAGGTGATCAAACAAGAAAACCAAACATGTGCCTTGGTTCCCTGTCCTAGCTCAGCAAGGTCTAATAGTGCCCAGCAAACCAACCAAGCAGCCCCAAACACAATTTTGTTCTAACTTCTTGATGGGCGAGGCGCTACAGTAGTTAGCAAGGAAACCAACACATGCTCTATATATTGATGTCCCTCAACCGGATATGCTTACAACTGGTTGAACATGAGCAATTGTGGTATAGTGAGAACTATCAGAGGGGCATTAGTCTGAATGAACCAGAAAAAAGAGCTTTCTGACTGCATTGGCTCTGAAGATAATCTAGCTGTAATCCAAGCTAAGTCTTACACTAAAGATGTTTTGTGACTCTATAATTATACCACTGTACCTCAAATAGGCCCTGTTTAGAACAACAATAAATCACCTGTTTTAAGTCTTAAGTTGATTTTTGTGAAAGTTAAAATTTGGTAAAACACATATGGGCTTGGAATTGATTTTTGTGAAAGTTAAAAAATTTGGTAAAACCATGAATCCACTTAACCATGCGCCACCTTCTTCAACTCAAAGCCACTCTCACTTCTTTTGCCAAGCGTGGGTAGATGACTTGTACTGTTACAAAGACTATTGGTCCCACTCGATTCCCTGAAATGTCCACTTTCAGTTCAGCTTTGACCTGTACTTCCAAAGACTCTCATTTTTTGCCCAAAAAGGTACTTTTGTTTTCTGCTTTCTCTGCAAAAACCCGCGCAAAAATCACAAATTATAATCCAATTTCACCGTAAGCAAATTTATATCACAATTCTTTGTTTGTATGACATCGTGTATATCACAATAACGCCAACATCACATATATCTCACATATATGTCTTGCATTACAACTCACATGAAGTCCAACACGTCGAAACACCACAAGTCCGTCCATCACCGCTCTAGGTCCATAACGAAGGCATGACAACAACTTCGACGATACGGTGGATACAATGAAGAATCGACTTTGCCGTCCCGGTCTGGTCCGATCGCAGCCCCGAGGTTTGCCAAAGAACAGCAACAGCATGTCCCGGGCCACGCGCGGTGGATCAATAGGGGTGCGGTGGTGGATGCCATCGACGCCACGGGTTCGAACCCGCCGATCACACACAATCGCCGAAGAGTCGCAGCATGGCGCAATCAAGCCACGCACCGGGTCAAGACCAGCGCTGGTTAGAGGAGGCCGACTGCGAGTGATTGGTGCGAACGAAGGTGCGACATCGTGATCATGTCTATGCAGCTTTGAAAGAATTTTTTCGCTCAAAATTGTTTCGTCCGGGAGCTAAAAGGCGCCAATTGGAATCGGTGAAGAAAGATAATATTTTTGAATAAACGAGCCATTAGTAAGCCATGTTTTCATCATCGCCTCTCCTCCATCTTGGCTTCCATCTGCCTGCAATGGGTGTTGATTGTATGTACAATGCAAAACGGTTTGATCTCTTGTTGCCGCTTACGGGGATGTCCATTTCGTGGGCGGATCGAACCTCGAGTCAGGCCATGTAAGGCGGTTTTTTCCGTCCCAACCTCTGCAGAGTCATGTCGATCGGGCTCGGCGGTGGGGTCGAACGCCTCCCGTAGCTGCTCGAAACTTTCTCAAATTTTTTTTGCTTTCAAATTTTTACCACTTTTCTCGATGACAAGACACGTCGTCAAGTTTCGTCATTTTCGGACTCCGTTTCGATTTTAAAAACCCGCAAAACTTTCACAAATTATAATCCAATTTTCACCACGGCCTCAACATGCTCCAAACATCATGAATATCACCATCGCCGGATATATTTCATGTACCGTTCATCACAAAATCAAAGAAACAAAAAAATCTACGGAATATAGCAAAATAAATCAAAATGATCACAAACTTGGAATATATCATGTATAACGCACAACAAAAACTCAAATATAAAAAATAAAATTGTCTTTTAACATCACAAAGTGCCGATTGGCAAAGGTAACCATGGCTCACATGATCGTTTGCAACATGCAGTAATTCACAAAAAGGGACCTCTTGCCGAGTGTCACAATAAGTTAAAAGAGCCACAGAGGATGTTGCGCTTTTGAAAATCTCATACAACTGTGTGGTTTAGAAAAGAGGTCATCAAGTGAGTTTCTAAAACTCCAAGAAGACTATAGTTTTGATAAAAACTATGGTTTTAAATACTACAAGATTTGTTGTATCCAATACATTGTAGCTTTTGAAAATCAAAACATTTTGTAAAACTATAGTATTTCTCTAATACTTTAAAAATACTTTACATCCAAATAGAACCTAGAGTGGGGGGACCCAGCATCGGACGACGGTGGGGGCAACGCGCCTGCTTGAGCCTTCAATTTGACACCCAACATGTAGAACATTTCCAAGAATCCATGTGTCGATGACCGTGTGGCTTCTTGAATCTCGACAGCCACATAGCTAAGAGAGTGTAGAATATCAAAAATTATGGAAGGACAGAGTACAACGGTGCTTAACGACGTGACATTATTGCTCATGTCTAAATACTTTGTATTGTACGCATCCTCAAAGTAGTCATTTTCTTTTTGATTCAAGTACGTAGTTTACAATGACAAATGGATGTACGAGCTTCCTCTCATCTATACGGGCAATGTTTTCATATCTTTTTCCTTCTAGCTGAAGCCTCTCGTGCTCCTCCTGTCACTCAATAAATAGATTTATAGAGTTGTTTTAAGTCAAACTTTTTAAATTTTAACCAAATTTTAAAAAAACATCAAGATTTATGACATTAAATTAGTATCATTAAATATACCATAGAATATATTTTTATAATTTACTCATTTTATGTCATAGATGTTATTACTCTTGTCTATCAAGTTAGTCAAATTTAAGATAGTTTGGCTTGCACGGATTTGATGAATTGATTTATTTAGGGATGGAGAGAGTATTGTAATAGACTAGGGTAGAATTTTGTTTAATTTTCATCCAAATTCACTCCAACACATGTGGATTAAAATAGATACGAATACATACAAACAAACACTAAAGACTCAATGGATCTGGCTGCCACCACATCAACAGACCCTAATGGCTTGATATTTTAGCTTTTCTCTGGCTTCTACCTTGCCAAAAACTAGAAGTTGAAATAAACAGCCAACTGTTGAGCTCACTTTCAAAAAGATGGAAAGCTGACTTCTAAGGAAATAAACTAAAAGCGAAAATCACGTTAAGAGAAGCTTTTCTGTCTTTTGGTGCGCCGAGAAGTTAAAAACATTTATAAACACTAATAGCTATAAAAGCCAACATCCAGAAGCTAAAAAACCCACTTTTAAGCAAAAAACACAAACACACAAGTTGCCCCCACTAGTCCACAACCAATGACTAATGTCAAACTTAAGGCACTATTTAGATCCCATGGTCTAGAGTTCAACCACTAAACTATAGACAACTTTAGTTCCTAAGGCTTCAGATAGGTGGTCTATAGTGCTATCTAAAGTTTCACCAACCTCATAAAAACTGCTAGTGCATTAGATACAAGTAAGATAAAGTAGTCTAAATTTTAGTTCTTAATTTTTGTCAACTAAATTTTAAATTCTAGGATCTAAACATGGCCTAAGTCACTGGCGGTAATAGAATGATCTCCTCTGTTAATCGAGTATTAACATAGATGGGCTGCCTTTAGAAAAAACCACTCTTAATTGATTAATAAGGAGGACATTTTTATATGGCCGCCTCCAAAAATGACTATTAACAAAAATGGGTATTCTAACGGTCAAGCTCTAGCTAGAAATCGATTAACAAAGGTGGTCATTCTAAGGGCATGCCTATAGAAATAGTAGCATAAAAATATATTTTTTTATATGAACTTAGATGAAGACAAACTTTCTATTAAAATTGTAGTACTCGACGCGATGTTCAATTTTGTAGTTGACAAAAAATAATATTGTTTAGAGTTCAAATTTTTCATTTTAAGCCCTCAAATTTTATAATTTATAAAATTTAGAATTTGCAAAGAACCTCGCATATTGACACGGTCTGCATAATAGTTGTAGCTCTCAATACAATCTACAAATCTGCAGTTAACAGGTTTTTTATTTGAAGTCATTTGGATTATTAAATATTCCTTTTATGTTCTAAGATTTTGAAATTTCAAATTTTAAATTTTGAAACTAAATCAAACATTGACATTATATGTACAAAATATGTACTTGTCAATGGAATCTACAACTATGCAGCTGACAAGTTTTTTTATTTAATAGATTTAGAATCTCAAATATTCTTTTCAAAATTATCAGATTTTGAGACTCCAATTTTATTTTTTTTTCCTATCTTAGATAGAGATACCATATATTAAAAAATGTTGATAAAAAGGATAATGTTCTATATATATACTCACTCACTCAGTCAGTCAGTCACAAATGAGTGTGTAGCGTAGTGGTAATCTTAATGGGCAACTTAACGCATCCACCCTCATAAAACGGTAGTAGTGAGGTGTTATGTGACTTGAAGTCTGTGTGTTCAAAGAAGTGTTTGATAGATGCGTTTGCCAACCTCTATTGATAGAAATTGCCCGTCCCTTCAAAATGCTTCCAATACCAGTGAATTTTGATAAGTTGAATAATGCTAAATTATTATCAAAATTATAGAGCCTCGGACGAGATCAACCACCATTTCAATTCATTTAGAATTATCTTTGTACCTATAATCGATAAAATGTTTGTTTAGACTTGTTCTTATAGGTATGTACATTATATTGATTCATTTAGCACCAAAGTGGCTTC